ACTAAGGAATCTGACCCGCTGGATTGGGAATTAAATTTCCCCAAGGTACATCTTCACAGGCATCAGTTTGTAGCACTGCAGCCTTACATACCAGTTGTTGTAGTAATTTTGTCTGAAAACAAGGAAACGTTTTTGGTAGCTGCAGTTTTTCTCTTGCAAAAGAAGTTTCTCTTGGAGAAAGACCTAACAATCTGGATGAGTGTTGAACAGACAAGTTTTCTGCCTGCTCAAGCAAAGTTTAACTTATTCCTTGTATAAGAGTTTACTAAATAATTCCAGCAGCAGTAAACACCATCATTTGGGCCTTCCTTATTTTGCATAGAAGGAAGTTAACTCATGTGATAAGTCTGGAGCATGAGAGAAAAATCATGTAAGCAAGAATGAAAAGTACAGGTTCCATTTTAAGGTACACCAGACCACTTCCACCTATTCAACCCACTGAATCACTGAACCGTAGCCAGCTGAGCAGTCATGTCCTCAAGGCCATATATGCACTGCTGGCACTGAGATCATTAAGTGCTCAAAGCAGGCTAAGTGTTTCCAGGGCAGTTATAGGATTAAGATGGTGAAGGCTGAATTAGGCAGGAAAAGTAAAGTTGCAGATTTTTTTTTTCTGCTTATAGTTATCTATTAACTTGCATAAATTGCATTCAAATTACTCTATAGTATTTATAGAGATAATAAAGCTTTTCTTACTTACGTCCTGTGAACTTATGCTTAACCTCTGTGTCAAATTTAAAGGAAAAAAATAAAACTGTCAAACTTGGCAGGGCTTTTGAAAGTTTAATCTACTAACATCCATAACAATAGAGCAAATAAACAATAAAAGATTTCTAGTGTTTGTTTAAATCTCAAAGCCAAAACATTTTTTGTTTTTCCTCACTGCCTTTCCAGAATGTGCCTCAGAGCATGCCTTTTAAAGATGGGGCTCACTCTTTTAGTGTGTAACATGATGTACATGAAGTGTCCATAGTGCTGTGGTGTGTGTTTCAGAGAACACATGCTTATGAAGTACATTTTCCAGTTTGGTACCTAAATCCCATTGCAGCTAACAGTTTTATGTCCACAAAAAGAGGAGAATATACGAAAACACTGAGTTAGATTTTTGCCAGCTCTCTCAAAATTCAGAGCTCAAGTGATAGATGATAATCTGATTATGACTGATAATAACCTGGATAGAAATCTCCAGTATTCCCATTGATACCAAAATGAAATGCTTCATTGGAAATTCTGTCTTTTTTTCTTGATTACAGCCTTTTTGTATGTATATCTTTTCCCAACTGTCAAAGGTGTTCTCCTAACTCCTGGTGTCTTTGCAGATCTGAACTACTGCACTCACCACAGGCCATGCAAAAATGGAGCAACTTGCATGAACACTGGCCAGGGCAGCTACACGTGTGCGTGCAAACCCGGCTTCACCGGCGTGGACTGCGAACACGAGATCAGCGAGTGCGACAGCAATCCCTGCAGGAATGGCGGCAGTTGCACGGTAGGGGCATTTTAAATGTAAAGCCTTTGTGTGAAGCAAGCCCCGGTGTACCTTTCCAGAAATGGTTCTGTAACAACATAATGGGAATTTGATAGGACACAGGTTCATTGCTGACGCTCACAACCATCATACTGAACCCTCTCCGAGAGGTGTCAGGGGAGGAAGTCTGTTACAGGAGGAGATGTATCATCTCGATTAGAACTAGTCAACTGATCCTTGGGTTTCTGTGGCAGCCATTAGGAGAACTTGGCAAGATCCAGGGTTGATGAGGGAGCAGATCTGTTAAAAATAAGCTTCTCAAACCACTGTTCATACAGAAATGCACTAAGTCTGCATTTTAATAGAAAATAAAAGAAAATTTTGCTTTCTGCTATAGAAAGTGAGAAGATAGTGTCAAACGATATGGGAGCACTCAGCTGAAACGTTCTGTAAAACAGAATTCCACACTTCTGGATTCTCATAGTTTTGTGTTTCAGCCTGTTTTTGGATCCAGTTAGTGATGGATTCTTACCAATGATGGATTGCTAAAGGCTGACTGATTATAGATATCAAATGTAATCTGATGCGTGTTTAGATTGAAGCCAATGCAATTTTTAGATTAAAGCACAAGACCCTACCTCCCTTCTCCCAAGGCCTTGGACATACAGTACTTGGAAAGAAGAAACAGTTTGTTGTTTTTGAAGTGGTGGGACTTAGGCAAGCCAAAGCAACTTAAACCCTTGTGAAATAAGAAGGGCTCTCACACTGAGGATAAATGGCCTGATCACAGCTGTGAGGTCAACACATACCACTCTGCTCTGGGAAGACCTCTGGATGCCATTAGACAGTAGTGGTGTTAGCAATGTTTTTGTGTAGCTGCCTGTGAGCTGCCTACAACTGCATCTGCTCTGTGTGTGTAGCTGCACGATTACTCCTGTGTGCTGAGCAGGGCTGATGCACAGCTCTGTCCCTCACAGTCCAACCTGCAGTTGTTTACTCTCCTGATGTTGCTTTTGCCACATCAGGCTGTGGATGAGAGGGGACTGAACAGCGCTTGCTGCTGACCAGAACTAAGTGTGCAGGGGGCTATCATTTGTTTCCATGAAATAACAGCGACCTAATGTTGTGTTTTGCAGGATATGGAGAACAGTTATCACTGCCTGTGCCCCCCTGGCTACTATGGCACTCACTGTGAGCACAGCGCTCTGACATGTATAGATTCCCCGTGCTTCAACGGTGGCACGTGCTTGGAAAAGGAGCAAGGGGCCAGCTACACTTGTGTTTGCCCTTTCGGCTTCACAGGGTCAAACTGTGAAAAAAAAGTAGACAGGTGCACAAGCAACCCCTGTGCAAATGGTGAGTCTTTTTATCAAAAAATCTCATGACCCTGGCTCATTTGTGCTTTTCAGTGCAGAAGTGATAGAAATCCAATCTGACCTCTAGAACATTAGTCTCTCTCCCCCGCTGTATTCCACATCCACACTAATTTTAGTCTCTTTCTGGGGCGGGACTTCCACTAGCATTTTCTATGCAACAAAACAATGCATAAGGTTTATCATGTGGTGGGGAAGATGGCAGATTTGAATTAAATTAACTCTATTACATATTTAGAAGGGGCATAATTTTAAGGCACGGTGATACAATTAGGTAAAGTAGAATGAACTTCTAGATGTGTGGTTGTTTTGTAAAATAACCTCTCTCTCCGTGAGGTATTATAACACGCTGACTGGAGAAGGTTTTAGATTTCTGAGTGAAGTGCATTGCAAACTAACTTTTATTTTACTTTTTTCCCCCTCAGATGGTAGTTGCTTTTACCTTGGGCAGATTCGCGTGTGCCGCTGTCGGGCTGGTTTCTCTGGTCAGAAATGTGAGATAAACATCAATGATTGTGCCAGAAACCCATGTTCCAATGGGGGAACTTGTCATGATCTAATCAACGATTACACCTGCACATGCATGCCAGGCTACAGTGGCAGGAATTGTGACATCAAAACCAGAGATGAATGTGCTTCTGGGCCATGTGAGAATGGAGGCACATGCTACAGTGGACTTTACAGTGCCAACTTTGTTTGCTACTGTCCTTCTGGCTTCATGGGCAACCGCTGTGAACTGCCAGTTTATTCAGTGCCCGTTACACTTCCTCCTAAACCAGTTCCCTGGATTGCTATATCCATGGGGGTGGGGCTGGTGGCTTTGCTCATACTGTTCTGCATGATAGCAATGGTCATCAGGCAGATGAGGATGCACCCAGAGCAGGAGTTGGAGACAATGAACAACCTGTCTGACTTCCAGAAGGACAATCTCATTCCAGCTTCCCAGCTGAAAAACACCAATAAAAATAAAGACCTTGAAGTGGACTGTGGGCTGGAGAAATCAAACTACAAACCCAAGAACCATAAACTGGACTACAATCTGGTAAAAGACCTGACAAGTAGAGGGACAGCGGAAGATAAATATTACAAAAGTGAAAAGTGTTTAGGAGAGAAGTCTCCCCTCCGACTACACAGGTGAGAATGCAGTTTTTATTACATTCTTTCTTAAAGCCACTCATCTTCATATCAGTCTAGAAGCAGGTGAGCATATGAGGGAAAAAGAAGCCTCAAGCAGATAATATACAAAACAAACAAGAACAAAGCCAGGAATCTTCATATTGTAGTACATGTGTCACAACCAAGTGCTATCCTTAGCTAAGTCAATTAATTTGAGTGTTTGTGCAGGGTGTTAGGATGGATACTGTGAAGGAACCTGGAGTGGCTAGGCCAGTGGTGAAAGTAAGAAGTATCTTTCCTTTGTCAGTAGATCTTGGAGAAACAACAGTAAAGGCATACAGTGGTTAAAAATAAATATTTATCTTTGTAAGAAGGCAAGATGATCTGCTTACTGAGAAGAATGACGGAGTGCAAACAACTACTCTTTGTCAAAAGGAGAAAAGGGCAGGTGTTCAGTGGCTTATCAGTCTTCTGATTCATGTACTGAAGGTCTTGTCTGGGATCTGTGTGTGGTTGTTACACCGAGGACTCTGAGGAACCTGCTGTTAGGTTGGACATGGCAGGAGCATAGGAAGAACAGCTCTCACTGTTCCTTATTTGCACTTCTCTAGCACAATATCCCAAGAGACATAGAATGTGTGAAACTTGATCCCATGCACTTCCACACCTTCATGGCTATCTCATTCCAGCGCTCCATATTCATGGTAGATTTTGAGAGTCAGGCTTGTGAGTAATCAGCTAATGTCCTTTTTTCTCTGCCCTGTCTTAGTGAAAAGCCAGAATGCAGAATATCAACTATATGCTCTCCGAGGGATTCAATGTACCAGTCCGTCTTTGTGATAACAGAAGAAAGGAATGAGTGCATCATAGCCACAGAGGTAAGGATGTACAGAGGTGGACAGGCATAAATTCACAAGGTAAAAGGGTAAATTATCCTGTAGTATTGTATCTGAGACGGTTCTTTTATTTCCAGGGATCATGATGCTTCCAATATTTTCCTCTCCTCTTCTGCGGCCCACACAGAACATACAGTGGGAAAAATAAAAAAATAAGGCACTCTGACTTTATTAAACAAGAGGTTTTGGGCATAGATAAGTCAGTGGTAGATGAAAACACAGAACATCAGCCCATAAGAATCCAGCACATTGTAGGATTATTTCCTTTTAAATAGGTGGTCAGGAAAAAATGCAAATAATAATCATTCTTAGGCCCATTGATGTAAAGCCATGTTTTTTCCTGTGACTACAATGGATAATCTTTGTTCTGTGAAAACAGGCAAAGCTATAGATTTCTAGCTGAAGATGGAAGGTAGCAGGATGTGTTAGTGGATAGGCATAACAGCCATTTAGGAAGTCTGTTATAAGGTAATTTCAGCCTCTTAGTATTTAAGCTCCAGCTAAATACTCTCTCGCAGAAGTTAATGCTGATAAAATTAGCAGCTAAATCTTCTCTAGCAGAAGTTAATGCTGTTACTAATAAAAACATCTCAATTTTTACATTATATTGAAAAGTTGGATACACAAAAAAAGGAAAGGTCTAACACTGAACTTTAAAGACTTTGAAAAGCAGATACTGAGGAACCAAATAGTTCCTGAAGAACTACCAGCCTTTTGGAAAATGTCTCAGTGGAAGTTAAAGGCAATTTGACTTTAACCAATACCTGCCTTCTTCGGTGTAGTCATCTTTAGGACTAATTTCAGCGTGTAGGAAAGAGAAGCTTGGTGTGCCATACACCAGTGATCTGTGAAGTCGGATCTGCAGGATTCAGTCTCCCTTTCCAAGGTGGATATCAGATTTCCCCTTGAAAGCAAGCTGGAACACAAGTCAACCAACAATATTAAAAGTTTAAGACTAAGTGACAGATACAAATGACAGCTAGCTGCTTCATTCCCATTAAGTGACCTAAATACTGTGTCTTCAGAGATTTGCTGACCAAAGCTAGGCTCCCAAATTTACATCAGGCATCTCCAAAAATGGTTTTATTTTCAGAAAGACAACCCCTAGAATATCTCTGCACACCATTCAGGCTTAATGCTTCTAAACACAAGCTATCTAACTATACCATGTGCTTTTTTACAGATCCCTAGTGTTAAGCACCCAAGTTTGTAAGCATTCTCCCATCAGGCCAGGCAGAGAGGCCTCTTATCACACACATGACTATTGTATTTTTGCTGGTGATTTTTTGCCTCTGGACCCAACTGAAAACATTAAGCACTGAGAGTTAAACTGCAGTAGTGTTTGGCTTAAATTGCTTTGGTTTGACATAGCTGAATTATAGTGTGTTAGTTCTGCACAGCTGTATGCTGTTATTCCTTCTCATTCCTGGTGTTATTTTATATCCTGACAGGTATAAGACTGAAGATCAGACCATTTGCACCTCAGATTTGATGATGCCAGTAGATGGACGTTCCTGCTGCATTGTTTACAATTCAGAACTGGATTGGACTGTTTTTAATTACATGCAACTTGCTGCTCTCAGGCGGAGGATGGAACTGAGTGAACTGGACAGACTGTGAATTTACTGAAAGATGCAATACACCTTTTTGTTCTTACTGCCCTTGTTTGAAGTTTGATACTAGAAATCTCATTTGCTATTGAAAAGGGGAGGCAGAGGGAAGAGAGAGGTTAAAAATGTTGGTGTTTTAAAAGATGCTGAGGCCAGTTCCTCATGGACAGACCCCTGGCTTTCCAGAACTCTGGTTATGGGAGGTGCTGGTAGTTAAGGAGGCACATAACTTTCACAGATGTTGCCATGGAAGGTGCGAAGCAAGACACATTGCTATGCAGATAATGGATACAGTATAAATGAGGTCTCAATTTTATCTGGGTTTAAAAGTGCCTATAATGTGTCAAAAAAATCTAACAAGCCCAAACAGAAACTTGACTGCTCTTTTTGCAGTTACCTGAACAATACTGGGCAGAGGTGGTTGATACTTCTGCTAAACATCCATTTGCATCCCTTCTCTCCTGCTGCATATACTGGAGACTGTGTAAGGGGTGAGAGGAGGAGGAGGAAAGAAGAAAACTGAATTTACATGTCAACTCATTTGGTGATGCTTTGGAGAACTGATTGACTCAAGCCACAATGTGGAACATGATGTTTCTGGAAGTTGTGATAAGGAATGTGTACTGCCCCGTCCCCATTGATAGGGAGGAGGTGATCCCAGCTCTATATAAGGCCTTACAAATGCGTTTTAAATCAATCAGCTCCTAGAACCTTTATGTGCTGAGCTGTCTCAGCTGTTTTCATGCCCTTTGCACTACCAGTGATTGTGAATAGACATTACTTACTTTCTTCTCCTTCCTCATTCTCTTCCCCCTGCCTTATTTTGATACAAATTTGGGGGTTTATGTAGTGTTTCTGAATTAGGTGCCACCTTTTACTGCAAATAGTCTCAAAATTGCAGCTGTTACTTTCTGAAGAAGCAGCAGCAGTGTGACACAACCCACTTACTCCCCTGCCATTCCTTCATCTGGTTGCAAAACTCCAACTCTTGTCCTTCAGCCTGGTTCTAAATGCCCAGTAGTGAAGCACCCACTGAGATGCCCTCTGCCTAGACAGGTGGAAATTGAAGTTAAAAGGTTTTAGGCTCATCCTGTTTCTTTCATACCCACCCACTGCTACATGGAAAATATGCTGTGTCTGTCCCTGGAAACCAGAGGCAGGCAGGAGCTCCTTTCTTCTATCCATATTTACAGCAATAATACCGGACACCCAGTGGAAAGTGCCGTGACACTCATGAATGAGACCAGGGCATGGGGCAGAATGAGGAGGGAGAAACCAGATCTCTTAGAGGAAGCCCGGACTGTGCTATCTCTCTGACAGCGATATTCCTGCCCTTGTAAAGCCTGTTGGACTAGCCCATCTACTCCCTTGAATTGTGCAGACAAGACCCCTTCATATTGTCCACTACTGACCTTCTGCTCTGACCACGTAGGACCATTTTGAAGATGACCTTCAGAAATCAATAATATGGGTTTTAGTTTGTCTGTTTGTAGTTTATTTTGAAGACTAGTATTTCAGTAATTTAAAAAAAAATCAGAAGCACTGAACTTTCTACGTTTTATAACATTATTTTGTATATAATGTATATTTATAATCAAAACAGAAGTGTAAATATGTTTATTACTTCTCATGTAATGTTTTTAATGTGATGACAAAGTTTGAATTTTATTTTTTTTTTCAAGCAATGAAAATACTTTCCTGCTACTAAAAAGTTTGTTGTGGTTTGTCCTTTTACACATGACAAAGTGTGAAGTGTGACAAAGTTAGTGAAGCCCACCAGAAATAACCTCGTCTTCCTGGTCCCTGCAGTCCTACATTTACATTTTGCACACTAAGTGATGTCAGCTGCTTTTTATTTTAAAAAGTTACAGTGTTAACACATGTCAACAAAGTTGTTCAGCTGAGTGGCATTCATCTAACATTTTGAAATTTTATACATATTTATATTGTGACAAATAATATTTAAATTACATATATACACACGCACATATATATACACACATTCTCTTGCCATGGTGTGGGACTGAACTGTCACAAAAGCTATTTTTATTAATGCTTCACTCTTCCTCTCCCCTGACAACTCATGACACAAAAGATGCAGATTTAATACCATTTCAAAGTGGCTTAATAAATGCTTTGTCTTGGGGTTCACTTCCAGAACAAAACTCTATTACCATGTCTTTTAAGCCTATTTCTTTAAACACTTTTAGTAAGATCCAAATCTAGTCCACAGGTTACTCTGGCACAGCATCTTTGATTGCAAGGGGTAAGATTCGTCTTTCACTTGTGGGATTAGGGGGAGTTTAGGGCTTTCTCCTCCTGAGTTCCCTACACTACATCAGCAGATCAGCAGCTGTGTCCTCCCGGGGCATCACAAAGTCATTATCCTCTACAGCCCTTTTGGAGGACATTTCCACCAAAAAAAAAAAAAAAAAAAAAAAAAAGTGTAAAAAGCACACTTGTATAAACAATCCCAGCAGGTTTAGTAGCCTTTGAAGCACATACATTTACAGGCAATTAAGTCTCTCACTAAATCAGCTAGGTGCAATACAGCCAAGATCTGAGTGCACAAAAGCAAAACTATAAGAACAGGAAACTACTGCTGCTCTATTTTAAAATCAGGGGGTTTTGTTGTTGTTGACAAAGTGCCAAAAAATCATCTGAATATTGGATGCCCTTCCTATCTTTCCCCAAAATAAAATCTAAGCAAAATTTGCTAGATTTTTTCAAAAAAATGAAAAATTAAAAACCCCAGTGACATTCAAAAAGCACCATAACGAATTATTTTTACTTCGTCATTAAAATACTGCAAATAACGATTCATAAGGGTCCTTCTGAGTGTATTATTAGGGTCACATAAATACTGTTTACTTTGGATGGTTTTGTTTCTCTCACTTTAGACCTTTTGACAGCGAAATTAACTTTCAAATCCCAGCCAATTTCCCCAGCTACCATAAAAAATAAATTTAAGATGAAACTCAGAAATAAAAAGCCACCTCCCCCTCCCCAAACATTCACTCTGTAGAGCAAATTATGAAAAACAAGCCATTGACAAAAAGCTGAGCAGATGCTCCCTGCTTGCAGTCCTTCCTCGGCAATGTGAAATAAACCCAACAGATGCCTCTCTTAATTGAGCACATGGATTACATACACACATGCACTCTGTCCTGCTTAAAACAAAACACACACAAAAATCAAACAGGAAAATAGAGAACTCTTCCCAATGCCTAAGCAAGCAGGAATGCTAAGACCAAAAAAGAATCAGCTCTTCCTGCTCAAAACATGACAGGAAACTGTACCCACAGACAGAAAGGAGTTGAAATCCATTAAAACCTGTGGACCTGATTATGTAGATCCCATGGGGTAAAGCAGGTACAACACATGCCTTTGTGTATCCACACAGGAGAGAGGAAAAAAAAAAAAAAAAACCAACATAATCTTACAAGGAAATCTGTGAATATTTACTGGAGGCAGCACTGCACGATGCAGCTACCGGAATAGATCACAGAACCTACACAGGAAAAACAGGAGTGGTGCCTGCTTCCACACAGGGGGACATGGAAAGCATATGTGAATCTCTGCACGTGTGCACATCCCCATGTCTTTGCCAAAGAAACCACAAGAAGGTTAGCTGAACACATAATATGACCTGGATTTAACCCACATCTTTGGCCAAAACCTTCCTCACCGGGGGCTCTGACCACTCAGCAGCCTGGTTCCCCCCAGGCGAGTACATCTCTGAGCCACGGAATGTGAATTCACTAGCAGGAGATGAGATCCTTCTGGCTGAAAAGACTCCTCAACCTCAGTTTCAAAGATTCCTCTTGAGGACCACAGACCATGTCAGGACCAAAATATTGTGATAAGCAGTGCCTTTTCTCTTAACAAGCTCTTGACATGCTTATAGACTTCTCAGATCAAACTGTATAATTTACTGCTTTCATCATAATTTGCAGTAACTATGGTAAGATTATGGATTTGGCAGAAGGACTGCAGCTAAATTTGGCATTCAGTTTTAAAAGACACAAATTCACTTGAAAGCCATGTGACAAAACTGCAATTTTAAGAACGGACTCTGCTTTTGAGAAACTCTTTCATGTTTCCTTCTATTAGCACCTGTTAAAAACTTTTCCACAGCCACACAGAGCCCTCCGGACTAAGTAATTTTGGAGCTGGAGTGAGTGAGAGGGGTACTGCCTCGGGCAGTGCTTCCCCTGAGCTGCTTCATGTTCGGCTCCAGCCCTACATCACTTTCCTCTTTGGCGGCTCGGCTGCTGAAGGGACACAGATGCCGGGATATACCCGT